TACACAGTGGAAGATTTTGATGCTTTTCAAAGAATATCATTTGAACTTACACAGTCTGTCTGCCTACGGATTGAGCAGGAACTGGCTGCTATAAGGAAAAAATGTAAGAAACTACTGTTACTTAGAGAAATGTAAAAAGTGCAATGGAAAAAGAGCTGAACCAATGTTTTGTGCTTGTAGCTTCCTAAAGAGTTGATATTGATGAGGTTATCCATATACAAATGATAATTTTAAAAACTGGTGATTTGGTTCTCATCTTCAAACATATTAAAAGCAATGGGGGAAATTAATGGAGAAATGGAGGTGAAAAAATAACTGGAGAAATGTTTTTCCCTCCCCTCCTAAGTACCTAGGAAGTTATTAAAGCGTGTGTCTATTTTGAATGACCTTAGTGGATGTGCTCTGCTTTTACACTCAATGTCTTGAGTAAAACAGTTATTTACTAGGGCTGTTCTTCTTTAGTTGTCCAAAATTAGTTGTCTTTTAGAATTTCAAAGGCAATGGAGTAACGCTGACATCTCCAGAGAGTAATGTGATGAATTTTTTGGGATAAAATGAATGACCTCCTGAAACGGGCTTAGACAAGACAATTTGAGACAGCAGATGCTAGGTGATGTTAATCTCAATCTAACTCTAAAGACTGAAGTGAAGTAGCACATGAAGTTCTTCACATGCATCCAAATTTGATGAGCTTAGTAATGTAGAATATTTGAAAGATTTCTAAATGACCAAATTTTTGGTCAGCTAAACTTATGATTAGTTGCGCCCTCAGTGTCCCTACCTATGTTTAGTCCAACACTAACACTGAACAGTCCCCAGCATTGAAAACCCCACACTCTTTAAAAATAAGCCTTTTGTTTCAGGATAGCTTTGAGGAACAAACCAGCAAAGCAGCCTTTGTTTTAGAGGGCTCAAGCAGTCTTAACATCCCCACTGTTAGGCTGACTAGGCCAACCAAAACAAGCCCAGGATGTCAGGTTTGTGTTTGTGCCTCATGTCAAGTTCCTTGTTTCCCCTTTGACTCCATTCCTGAAAAAATACTGGGATTTATTTTGCCCTATTTCTAATCTAGATATGCAAAACCTGGAGGATTCTTAGTTCCCATTGAGGGCATAATGTTATTGCTCTTCACGGCACATGTGAAAGAGGGAACCCAACTTGATTATCAGAGTCTAACTTAAGTTTTCAAGTACATTTATTTTAGATGAACTGTTCTCATTTGATCTAGAAATCACTGAATTGGTGCTTATTGTCATGTGATTTGAGACAACCTAGATATGATCTTCATGAAATTTGATAGTTATAAGCAAGTATAGAAAACATGTACTATTGCACTTACGACACAGTATCTGTTCAGTTAGAATAAATTAAGTTATTGAGGGACATTTTTCATTTATTTTAGAGATTTTGTGTAAAAAAATATTCTAGCAAGTATGCCTCACCTGTGCATTTTTATTTCCATACAGCTTATGTACCTGCAAGGAATATGGTCTTTTCTAATGTAACATCTGACAGTTTCAAAGTGAGCTGGTCTGCAGCTGGATCGGAGGTTTTGTCCTATCTCATTAAATATAAAGTAGCAGTCGGTGGAGAAGAATTCATTGTTTCAGTCCCAGCTTCAAGTACCAGCTCAGTTCTCACCAACCTGCTCCCTGAAACTACTTACGCAGTCAGTGTGATTTCGGAATACGAAGATGGTGATGGCCCTCCCTTGGATGGAGAGGAAACCACCTTAGAAGGTAGGCTTTCCATTATGCTCAGACACAAAAGAGTCTTATGTTCAAATAAGAATTTGCTTAACCGAGAGAATGAGTGTATGTGGAACAGCCAGCTAAGGCTGAGAAGCTGAGCTGGTATGCAGGATGAGGGTAAACATTACTGTCTCTCAAGGCATCTAGTAAAGAGATAAAATTCCAATGATAGGCCAACATTAATTTGTTGAGATTGGATTTTATTTTCCCTGAAAGTCGGATGAATGCAGTAGCCTATTTTTGAATGGTATGGTGTGTTGCCAATTCCAAATTCATTAATCTTAGTATCCACTTAAGTTGGACTGGGTGACTGTTGTAGGTCCCTTCCAACTGAATTTTTCTATTCTGTTTAATAATTATGACTCTGGTGCTGGAATGCATGTTGAATTTAATACATTTAAAGTCATGCATGTACCTATGCAATTTGCTGTGTCTACATCTAACTTACACTAACAGAAATTCTGTTTCATATACCGTGGCCTTAAAGGGGGCTGAGTTTTGGTCAGCTGTTTTCAATCAGAACTTGATGGGTCTGATCCAGTAACTCTTACTGACTCAAAACTTCCATTGATGTCAGTGTCAGTTTATGTGATCCATGGCTGTAAATTTAAGCACGGTAGCTGTACTTTTTCTTGAGAGAGTTGCCATGATGCATTTCCACTGATTCGAAGGAGAATGACGGTAAATTTGGTTTTCTATTCCAGCAGTTGAATACTCAGTCTAGTCAAAGTCGTGCTGTTTAAAACGTTGATCCACTCTTTTTCATTATTCCATGCTGTCATTTGTGACCTTTGGTGGTGTAAATGGTTCCCAGGGAGCAAAAGAAACGCCATGGAAATTTGTTAATTGCTCTTTCCTCTTAAGATTGATAGAAATACGCATTTATAAAATAGCTTAGTTTGGATGTTAAGTGTGGAGGATACAGGTTTCGCTGTTGGTCTGCTTGTTTCCATGACTGTACCAGTCAGGACGTTTTGGCCATGCTTAACTTTCTCTTAGGAAAACAGACAAACTCTTGGCTAATAGAATATGTAGCTTGTGAGCATAAGGGACAGGAGAAGAAATAGCTTTAATAAAAGTAATCAGCGTTCCTATGTTGTAACTGATGCTGCCTTAAGTAATTGTCAGCATCTTGGTGTGATGAAATCCCAACATGTTTGAGAAGACACAATTCTTCCGCAATCGTGTAAACATCAGCAGCTCTCCATGCAGATCATGCTAACAATTTGGGCCAGGAAGCTTTCTTGGCAACTAACTTTGGTTTCAGTCTTTTAAAGAATTTGAAATTGCATGTAGTGTTTCTGATTAGTAGAAAAAAATCTTAACGTTTTTAAAACTATGATTATTAATTGCTCCATTCTTAACAGGTCTGTAATTTCACACTGTAGAACAGTGCTTTTGGCATATAATGTTTCAGTTAAATTATACTTTAGATAGTAAACAAAAAAACCCAAAACTTTTTTAACCTAAATGACAGTGTTGCATACTGCCAGGCCACTGCAGTGCAGTAGTTTTTAATGTATGTTGGAAGAGTAAAGTCCTTTTTTGATGTGCCCACTGAGTCCATATGAAGTGACCTGAGTTGCTATATCTTTTGGCAAGGAGCAGGCTATGTTAAATGATTCACTATAATTTTTCCTTAATTTCTGGGATAATAAACTGGTTTTTATCTCTGAGTTTGAGCCTTAATTCAGAAGCCTGTTTTAAACAATAGATGCAACTCATATTGCAATGAATGTATTTTTTGTAGTGAAAATTTTACTTAAATACATTTGTTTTGATGTTTTTGTTTTTGTTTTTTTTTTTTTTCTGTTGCACTTACCGTGGTTGTTCCTTCAGAGTAGGAGAGCTGCCTACGTGTAGCCAGGTGTTTCTGACAACTCTCTGCACATGGAGGTGATGCAGAAGCAAATGGCCACAGCCAAGAAACCTATACAATTTGTTGTGTTAAGAAATTTCCCCACTATGCCCAAGTGTCCTTTACAGAGTTCAGTTCCTCTGTTACCACTTAACACAGTCAGACTGTCTTGAGTTTCAGAAGCAGTTGTATAAACTGGGATTAATGTGCTTTTGGGGACAGCTGACTTGCACTGCTGATGGTAACTCTGGCTCTAAGTTTTCGGAAGTGACTAATGGTTTTTGTACGTTAAAACAAAGGGAGGGCAGTATAAGCTGATGCTTTGGTAAACTGGATAAGCTAGCAGAATGGTTGGAATGGTTTCACTTCAGACACTGCTTGAGCAAAAGCAAATATTTACAAATTGTATGTGTGTATTTTCTGTAGTTAAAGGTGCTCCTCGAAACTTAAGGATAACAGATGAAACTACTGATAGCTTTGTGGTTGGCTGGACTCCAGCTCCAGGAAACGTCCTGCGGTACAGGCTTGTCTACAGACCACTTACTGGAGGAGAACGGAGACAGGTCACTGTCTCAGCAAACGAAAGATCAACCACTCTACAGAACTTGATCCAGGATACAAGATACGAAGTGTCTGTTATTCCTGAGTATCAGTCTGGGCCTGGGAATTCACTGACTGGATATGCAAAAACTGATGAAGGTACATGACCAATCCTGTGAATGTAGTCAGCTTGAGCAGAACCCTTTACATGCTGACATATTCCTTCTGAAAAGAGAATAACCCATATTGGCCATATGTGTTATCCCAGATGAACAGGGAATTATAAAATTACTGAAGCCTACTTGAGAGGTAATCTAAGACAATATAATTTAGCAAAATTGTAATATTTAGTTTTAAAATATAGTCTATTGAACCTGCAACACCTATTATGGGTGTATGGATACCTGTATATGCATATATACATATATACATATACAGGATCTACCTGTATGCTTATTTAGTTGTCCTCGTGATTCTTCATGATATAAAGTGATATAAATTACTTTTAATTTCAGCAAATTCAGACTCTGTTCTGAATGACTAGCAAGGAATGAATGATACATTTAATTTACTAAAGTTATCACTGTAGCTTTAACTTGTATGAAAATATATGATCCTTTATCAGGCATCATGCATTATTAATCGCAATCTGAGACAGTACAAATGTCCTGATCACTGGTGGAATACTTCACTGAGATTTAAATATTAGAAACCAGAAAAACTGTCATCAAAAATAAGTCTTTAGGAAGCCATAATGTGTTATTTTCAGGTGCTAGTATGTATAGGTGTTTGAGGATTGAGCCTGTTTCAATAGGAAAAAATAGGAGCACAAAGGCTTTACTGGGCATTTTTGCCTACAGAGAGTGGGGATGGAATTGCAAAATCTTGATTACAGTAAAGTTATACCATAGCAGTGTTAGTGTAGGCTATTCAGGAATTATTTTTTTCAGCATTAAGCCCTGTGTTGTGGTAACCTAAAAAATAAACCAAGAAATGAAGCTTGCTTCAACTTGTTTTCAACATCTTTTGACATCTGCAGTCCGAGGAAATCCAAGAAATTTGAGAGTTTCTGATGCTACAACATCAACAATGAAGCTGTCTTGGGGTGCTGCTCCTGGCAAAGTGCAGCAGTACTTTATAACATACACTCCAGTTGCGGGAGGTGAAACGAAGGAAGTGACTGTGAGAGGTGACACTACCTCTAAAGTGCTGAAAGGCTTAGACCAAGCCACGAGGTATGCATTGACTGTGTCTGCCTTGTATGCTTCTGGAGCAGGAGAGGCCCTTTCTGGAGAGGGAGAAACGCTTGAAGGTAATTACTTGTTGTTTCTGTACAGTCATTCATTTGATTGATGTTTAAGGTGTCTTAAAGTCTTCCTGAGTTTTCCGTAGAAGTCAGTATGTGAATGAAAGATAGGCATATTCGTCTACTTTACAGGGATTTTTCAAACCTACTGTCCATGAGAAGAAACAGTGGGGTCAAATCCCTGGTTGTGGAGGGGACTCTGGATCTCTTGAAAAAGATGTTGCGGGAAGAGCCAACCAAAAGTGACTGTACTGCCACACCACCCTCAGTGAAATATTTTGTCTTCTAACTCTCAACTTCTGAGCAGTTTTAGTTGCAGATTGTTCTTTATGTAACAGGATTAATTAACGGAGTTAAAGTATCCCATCCATTTGAAAATTTCCAGGGGTTCTACTATGCTGAGACTGAAAAATGTTCGGGGACCATTTTTGTATTAGAGAACAAACATCCAGTGTAGGCCTAGGAATAATGAATCCTATCCTGCTTTTAACTAATAGGAGTAAGAACCTAGGGCTGGCAAAAGCTTAAGTCAGAACAGAATGCTGGCAAAAGCTTAAGTCATAACCAAAGACTTTCTTATAAGGAGGGAAGGCTGCTCTCACTCTGAGAATTTCTCAGACTCGCTCAATGTGAGCATTCTCAGTGTCATCTGTGAATTGTCAGAGGGCAGGGAAAGCTGCCTCCTAGGCCATGAAAGGAAGCGTGTCTGTGCTCTGTGCTGGCCAGGTATGTATTGCTGAAGTCTGGCACTGCAGCTGTGTAGCCATGGCCCTTGAAAACATCTTACAGATGAATTATGTGGAATTAAAACTCATCCATTGATGCTAATGGAGATATAGTAGGGATATACTTGGCTCTCAGTTTCTCCATCAGTTCAAGTTTTTGTTTGTGACATAGGTTAAGAAACAAACCAGAAAACCTATTTTAAATAGGAAATTGTAAAAAAAGTCAATTCCAATGATTCACAGATGCACTGAATTCATCTCACTAGAATTTAGGAACTTATTTGCAGCTTCTTCTGTGATGAATGAAGAAAGCCAGATACTTCCAGGAGGCAGGTAGTCCATCTGAGATCCCATTTTCCCTTCAAATGAACATTTCTCTGTCCATCAAATCTAGAAGATCCAAAATGCTCCTTTTTTTAGGAGAAAACAGCCTGTCTCCTGCCCAGAACACTGCTGGGATCCAGGTAAAGGAGAGCAGGTAGCTGGGTTTTGCCCATATCCTCCAGAACAACCAGAGGTGATCAGGACTTAGTGAACTTCCCTGGTGGCGGTGGTGCTGCCACTTCCTTTTGTATGGTACTCTACTAGGTCTAACACTTTTTTGGGGACAAGAGGGAACGTGGAGATGTGGGCCTTACTTGGTCTGGGAGTGTTTGAATTCCCATCTCCACATCCCAGCAGATTCACAGGGCTGTAGTGTATGCTGGGCAGGAGTCTCCTTCACTCTT